ATATGACCTTCCAGGCCTTGGGCGCCAAGACTTGGTCCTGTGACGACTGTGGTTGACCGATCACAGTTCGTTACAGCGGCTCCAGGTGCAGCTTTCAGCGTCACCCGCCCGGGCGTCGTTGACAGCATCATGCATACTGGGGCTGCCCGACTACCTGAACGGTTCCTTTTTGCTGGATTCGATTGTCATAGTTTGGCGGTGGAAAAAGTTTCCTCTTTGCGAACGAGGGATCTCGTGCTAGACGAGCATAGAGAAGTACCTACTACATGGACATGCAACAGCAAAAGCAATACCAATTACGTGATTCTGTGTGTTTAATGATACGATTATTGATCAATCAAGTATCAAGGGGCATAAAGAGTCGATGTAGCCCCAGAGCGAATGCTACCTGTTTCGGAAGCAGCATCGTACTCCGATTCTTCTCTCGGAGTTTCCGTTGATGCTTGTTTTGTGCCGAAATTCCTTGCTCCTCTTGCACGACCAGGCTACCAGAGCTCATAAATGATATGTATCAGGATTTTGCGAATACGGACCTTGCGCCTGAACTGAGCTCCTCGAGGTGTATGTGGATGCACAGTAGACCCATTCTCTGCTATCAAGGTTGATGCTGCCGTTTCCGACCGCAACGTGGAAGTGCGAACGATCGAAGCGTTATCCAGATTGTCCAAAGGGAATTTGAACTGAGCCGAGTGGATTTGATATGCAGTCTTAGTATTATCGGGCATGAAGAATGGAAACGGTGAGACACGCGTGGGGTCATTGCCAAAGGAGTCCGTCTTGGAAGACTGAAGTGCGAATGGCGACTCAATGGCATGTTCGTTTTGTTGCTGGGATATCTTCTTTCTCTGTCGCCTCAAGCCGAGCTAATCAAAGGGAAGAATCATGAATATTGTACCAGAAAGAAGAATATGGAGAAAAATCTCACAAAGTAGCCAGCCAAAAACATCAGAATAACAGCGGATGCTGCAGCGACTGAAATACCAGCGATAGTACCGGCTGGCAACCTGGACAATGATTCATTAATAACAATGAACATTTGCCAAGAGTATCATGCCTTGCAAGAGTGGAAGGACTTCCAGAAGCCTGCGTCGAAGGATTTCCGAAGGTCTGCGTTGGGCTTAAGCTGAATACGTTGAGTGATGAGTTTGGAGCATCGAAGACCCGGAGCCAATACACATACGCAAGTGAATCTAGAGAAAGAGTGTAGATATTTGCATAGTCAACTTCAAGGTGACTGTTTCCCCCGTTCACGATGGCAATTGAATGATTTCCCTCTCCAATATTACTGCCATAGTAAAGCAGGCTCTTGACTCCGCGAGTTTTCGTGAGTGCCGAGTATTTCTCAAGAGGCCCGTTATCCAGCTGGACTGAATATAGTCCATTGTCGGGACCTACGGATCCGTAAATTTCGACAGCATCGCCTTCAACATGGCTCCGCGTGAGATTGGGTATTTATGTCGTCGTACATGAAGTGTACACACCCTATTATCATTGAAATCAACCACTCTTCACCTGAAGTATCAAAACTCACTGCAAATGTCAAAGTTACAGTCGAACCCAACTCTGGGGTTGAACTGAAGTGGATAATTTAAGATCAGGAATTATGCAGGCACTAGAGTCAACTTACTGGCCCGTTATATTGTAGAAAAGATTGACGTCTGCTGGGGAAGACCAATTTCCTTTGGGGTATTGGAAGGCTGAATCTGTATCGTCGACCACCGTCATAAACGGAAACCCCGTCTTATTGCTATTGACGTTTGACACCCATGTTAGCTGTTTCAATAATTAGTTTGCAGCTCTGTGCATATGGAATGGGACCCACATAATCGATAACGAAAGTGGAATCGCCTTGATTCGATATTGTCATGGTATGCTTTCCGGGAGATAGGCTCTTGTTGGCTGAGAAGACTGGGGTTTGTAGTGTTGGTGTACCTGCTCCATGACCCGTGTAACTCTGACCATCAATAGTGACTGTGAAATCACCATGACCGGTATTCCTAGAGCCATAGATTGTGACGTCGACACCTTCAAATGCGAACGTCATCGTTGCTTCAGGATTCTGAGTTTTTGAAAAGGTCATTCGATGGAATCTGAAGAGGGGTATTAGAGCAGATTCGATTATGTAGTTTCAAGATCACTTACAAGTTGGCACCGAATTGGTCGGTACTGGGGTCCGTATCGATATTGTGGTAACTCCAAGCACCGGGTGGATCATACTCCACCAGAGGGCTTTCGTTGTCAACAGTAAGCAATAGACTGGCCATGGAGGTCTAAAGAGAAAAACTGCGATAAGGTCAGTGGTCTAAAAGAGCTACACACCCTCTTCAGCAAACAAATGATGTTGATAGAATGTCACCATTAGATCGCATAATGTCAAAAGAGACTGTGCAGGAGTAATCCGTTTCCATGGGATTAGGGATGTCCTCGATATGGAACACTATCGATAGTATCTCGCGCGCCCTATGGATCATCCCACAAAGAGTCAGTCGAATCCCAAACAGCGGAGGACATATCATCATGAACAGATTTGATGTAGCATGTAACGAGTGAGATAGGGCGCTCAGACGCGAACTTGCTACACAGAGCTCCATGCCTGATATTGATCAGTGTCGACTATAGTAAATGGAACAACTTCGGGGGCCTGGAACCGGTGGAGGGCAGGGCGTCAATTCTCAAGCTGAACCTTTGAAAAAGACATCACAAGATCGCCAGATGACCTTTGGGAAAGCCCCTCTATGGGATGCGAAAGACCGAAGAAGAGTATAGTAAGAAGCGATTTTGAAAAGATGTTTTGCTTGAACAATCAATTATGGCGAGTGATAAAACGAATAGTCAATTGAAAGATTTTGAGACGGTGATACATGAAACCAACATGAGTCCACTTTAGACGGGCTCTTCTGAACTTGTGAAGCTCAATGAAAGTACCAAGTTGACGCCTTGAACACCACATGTTGCGAAGCTCGAAGATTTCGGAACAAAGAGCTTTTCCTTTCTCAGTATAGGAGATTTTAAAGGGCGCAGCACAGCCAAAATTCTCGATCAGCTGCGGTCCCTTGCTTTTACTCAGCCATCAACGGTATATCAGTCTACGCATCAGTCTGTTTCATGATCAGGAGTCCACAGATGCTATGCCAACTCTCGATCGCAAAAATTTTGTGCCATCGTTGCCAGCATATCCCCATGGTTCCTGTCTATCCACCTTCGATATCATGATCGACACAAAGGCGCGGACGATTTACACCAAACTTCCGATGGAAGAGTACCTGTGTTTTCTGTCCAATGGAGGTTTGACTTTCTATGGTATTGTCATGACCTGTGTCTTCATCTCTTGAAATGTATGAAGGAGGTTAGGAAGATACCATCTTTTCTGCTGTTCTACCTTTGGCGGCAATGGAATCTCTGATATCAAGAACGACAAAGCTTGGTGACAGCCGCCCGACTCCAGAGGGCACTGGCTCCCTTATGGAGCCTTGCCTTATCAGGAAGCATGTACATAATTGGTGGCGCTAACGTGCTCTGTACCGAAATGATATTCATTCGATATTCTCTGACCTTGAACAACTCAAAACATCAGCGACCGAATTACTATTCATAGGAGCTAAATATGAGAGAACCAGGTAGCTGAGTTCATGTAACGCGAAGATCCAAATCTCCGCGGTAATAAGCCTCAGCATCATTCACTGCCCTAGGCTCCCTAGCCTTGCGATTCGCGTCCCCATACGCCCGGTCATACTCCCTTCTCATATCAGTTTCCAGTTGGTTCGCAATCTGTATATACACCTCCGTTTGGTTCAGGCCAAGCTTGTCAACGGAAAGAGTCCCGATCCCGCGTTTACGCGCAACCATCGTCAGGAACGCTACACACAGCTCTCGTTCATCGCCATGGGCACGGAGGCAGGGGAGATCACGCAGAGACCGCACGTGTCGGATGAGCAGGGGCGCCCCACTGGTCTTGGCCTTGTTCACCTTCTGGTCTGACGTGTGTTCTACATCCTCGCGCGCCATTTGCGAGGCAGAGACGAGAAGCTCGAGCTTTATTCGTTGGTATGTCAGGTGTCCGATGATGTCGTCTTTGGAGATGTACTTGTAGTCGAACGCGGGGTTGAGATCGGAGCACCCGTCGTGGATGTCGCCGGAGAGTTTGATGACTGCGTCTTCTATTGACCAGTTTGGAAGACTAGGAGTCCACGTAGTGGGGTGCGCATTGCTATTTCCACCATTTTTATTCTGGGATTTCGAGCTCTTGGACTTTGATTTCGGCTTCGATGTACTCAAGCCGGGTGGTGATGTCAATAGATACTCTGATGGCAGGTCGTCGTGGCGTTGGTGCGGAGGAGACATTCTACGAGACGAAGCTCGGATTGTTTCTGTGGAGCGACTTCGTGAGAGCATATGATAGATGTCGGAGACTGATGAGGTTGAGGTTAGACGCCTCGATGTCGCAGCGATACCAAGGTTGAGTTCTTCAAGGTCGTCGCTGCCTTCGTCGGATGAGCTCCAGTAGTTGAGAAGCATGATGGAAAGAGGGATTGGCTGAAGGAAAAAACAAGAGCTGGAACATATATAAGGGCTGGATTGTCAAAGAGAACAAAGCGTTATGAATGCTGTTGTGGCCAACGATGCATAAGCTTTGTTGAGTGGCGTATTGTTTCATTTTTGCCATAACGGGCACATAAATCGCATCTCTGGAACAGGAAAGCGAGGAGCAGGGGGTATGGCCAAGACCGAGCTTTGACTTTCAATATTCAATGGTTACATGTGTGAAACAATGAAGTAGAGAGGGAGAAAAAAGATAAGCTGAACTTCACAACGTGAATGCAGACAGCCTTGCTCATCGCAGTTGTGAGATCCTGAAGTGAAAGGAAAGCCGGTGGCTTAAAGGGTCGAGACGCGGAACCGAATGGATGATGCCAATAGAGTAAGAACAAGATTGATTTTCTCGCATAACCTGGTCCGTTGGATTGGTAGAAAGAATAAAAACTTTTCACACACAAAGACAATGACAACTGTGAGGTTCGAACTCACGCCCTTGCGGACTGGATGAAGGAAAGAAACCTAATTCCAGCGCCTTAGACCACTCGGCCAAGTTGCCATATCTTCTTTGGAACAAGATGGGTACACAGAGATTGAAATCATGCACATCGACAGGACCCGCATGCGGTTCAGTTACCAGTTAGTGTGGTGTGTAGACAAAAATGAACTAGTATGAGCCGCTCCGATCTGTTGTGAGTAGAAGTTCCCTCTATTATAGTAAAGAGCTTACCTTCTCGAGGGAGGTAGTCTGAGTGGAAGTTCCTTAGGGGACTTGTTCCTTGTTATTCCACGTGAATCGTCGCGCTCTCAGATTCCATCATTGGTATTTTAGTAACATTTTTCTAACTTAAGGACTCTTCCCAGTTGACGAAAGACCATCGCGTGGATGAGCCTATGGAGAAGCAAAGTCGAACAAGCCATGAGGAAACAACCTCTCTTTATGAGATATTTCTGTCAGATGGAACCTTTTCTGACCATTGTTCGGAATACCTCAATGGTTACTTGAAGAGCCTCAGTACACCACTTTCCTTATACGTCGCCTGGAGAGACAGAGATAGAAAGGTAATCGTACTGCATGAGCAGATGTCTGCATACACCGTTCGCCTGAACTGCGTTCTATTTAACGCGATCTGATACCTCGTCCGCCGAACAGATATCAAAATCCTGTCAGCCACTCCCAGAAGATGCTGACTATGTATGTATGACCTGGCTCCAGGCCTCGGGCGCCAAGACGTGGTCCTGTAGTGACTGTGGATGATCGTTCGCAGCTCAATGCAGCGGCTCCAGCTGCAGCCTTCGGCGTTGCCCGCCCGGGAAACGTTGACGGCATCGATGTAGACTGGGGCTGTCCGACTACCTGGCCGGGTCTCTTTTTAAGTAGAACGAAGGTGAAATTGAACATGCCTGTCGCACTGAGCATGCAGTCAGTAGCCGAGGTTCAGGTAGCCAACCGACCAAGATCATGCAATGTTTTGACGTCGCGAACAAAAGAATCCCAAATTAGGCGAATCGATCAACCTTTTTTTGGAGCTCACAAACACCGAGTGTAACAACAGATCATATGTGCTGTGGAGAATAGGCAAGAAGCAGGTTCTGGAATGCTCCACTATGATATTCCTGGCCAACATGCTGCCGGTGCCATGCATATGGCTACAAGTTGGAGAATGTGTATCCGTGGAGACCATGATCGGGTAACTCACAGTTGGAATGTTAAGCAGAGAAATGGACATAGTCAAGGAACGGGAAGGAACGGGCTGCTACAGCATTTTGTCTGTCGAAAACCAGGAGAGGGTTGGTGGAAGAAGTGACGAATTAATGTAGAAAAAAAAACGTGGACATTCTGAGATTCTCACGTGCTGACGAAGGCAAGGAGTGGCCGTTGCTTACATTCTTCCATCGTTTCACCTGACCTTCCCTTCCTTCCTCGCCGACGTCCACAGCGGGCTCGCCCTCTTTCCTTACTGCAGGCAATGGCCTCCAACACCACCCAGGCGACCGCTTCCGGTGACCTCGTCGACCTCGTTTCCTCTTCCAGCACAACAACCATTTACCCGTCCGACGATACTATCCTTGCTGTCCTCCAAGCTCGTTTTCGCGCAGATCTGCCGTATACAAGGATTGGCGCAACCAACCTTGTCGTTGTCAATCCTTACAAGACCCTTGCTAACGTGAACAATATCAGTGCGAAGGAGTATGAGGAGCGATGCTACAAAGACACAAGTCTTCCTATGGTAGACTCGCCCAAACCTCTGCAGCCCCATCCGTATGATTTGGCAGCGAAGCTGTACCTTTTTATGCGACGTAGACACCAATCCCAGGCTCTTCTGGCTAGGTGAGCATACAGTAATGCATTATGCTGCTCATAGTTAATAAATTTCTTCAGGGGTATAACAGGGTCTGGGAAAAGCTCGACTATTCGCCTCTTCATTAATCAGATTCTGCGCCTTTCGACGCACTCAAGAAAAGAGGCCAAGATTGCTGAGCAGGTCAAAGCCGCATGCACCGTCCTCGACTCGTTTGGCAACACCAAGACCCTTATGAACCCAAATGCCTCGCGTCACGGCCGCTACCTTGAACTACACTTCAACGAGAGGGGGCGCATCAGCTCTTCAAAAGTCCTTACGTATGCTCTCGACAAATCCAGGCTCACCCGCCTCACCCACGAAGAGCGATCGTTCCACGTCTTCTACCAACTCCTCGCTGGAGCTACCACAGCAGAGCGTGATCAGTTCAACTTGGAGGATCCCTCTGACTATGCTCTCCTTGCTTCTTCTGGGACCTACCGCCTTCCCTCTGGCCCCTTTAGCGACGATTCAATTGGCATGTCAGACCTGCGTGCATCGATGCGTACCCTTGGCTTCAAGCAGAAACACATGTCTTCTATTTTTAGTGTACTCGTTGCTATCCTTCTCTTGGGGAACCTGCAGTTCCACGACGGCGACGCCCACACCGTCTCCGCATACATCGCAAACACCCATGTTCTCGATCAGGTGGCGCGCCTCTTAGGTACCTCATCCGATGATTTGAACCAGGTCTTGACGAACAAGACTAGCTATGTTCGCAAGGAGCTTTACACCGTCCTCCTTAGTGCCGAGCAGAGCGCAGCGCAGCGTGATCAATGTGTGCGCGACTTGTACTCGATTCTCTTTGCTTTCGTCGTAGAGACAGCCAACCATCGACTTGCACCAAGCAGCAAGGACCCCCTTCCGTACACCCAAATCGTCACTCTTGATCAGCCTGGGTTTCAAACCCGTGGCCCATCCGGTACAAGTTCCATGGCACTTACCGGTACAGCACCACTAGTGTCCATATATGGACAAAACAGCATCTCTGAATTCTGCATTAACTTCGCAGACGAGCTTCTTCAGTCTTATATTCTGCGGAACACGTTCGAAGACTCTGTTGGGTATAACGCGGTGATTTCAAGTGATGGGATCGCCCTTCCCTCGATTGTAACGATGGGTGATGGAGCCTGCATTGAATTATTGCGTGGTGCGCAGCTGAGCGAGCGGTCGCAACGTAAACCGAATGGGTTGCTTGGGATCTTGAATAAGAGTAGCTCGGCGTTCAAGTCTGGGAAGGGTGATGATCATCGCGATGAGGACATGCTCCAGGAGCTTGTTACCAAGTTCGGCGTACATGCTTCGTTCATTGCCAACCCCGGACCTGCGTCCGAAAAGACTCTTTTCGGAATCAACCACTATTCCGGTTCCGTATCATACGACGTCACGAAATTCGTGGAGAGGGACAGCGACCTTCTTGACTCGGCCTTCGTCACACTCCTGCGTCACTCGACCGAACCCTTTGTCGCGAAGCTTCTTTCCGGGCCTAGCCTTGCCGCCGAGCGTCATAGCAAGGACGAGAACATCATTGTCCAATCACAAGTTTCGTCACGACCCCTGCGTCAAGCGACACCCATCCCTCTTCCAAATGGTGACATTCCCGAAGAACATGCTCATCTTGACCCGAGCAAGACATACCCCGTCACCTCCCAGCTCAACTTCACTATGTCCGAAATCTTTGCCAGCCTGGACCGCACACACCTCTGGAATCTTGCCTGCATCCGACCCAACGACTCAGGCTCACCAAACTCCTTTGACAAACGCCGCGTCAAGGCTCAGATTCGCTCACTTCTTCTTCCAGACGTCACAGCACGTCGCACCACCGAGTACGTTGCGGACTACGACATCGCCACCTTCTGCGAGCGGTATGTACCCACTATGCGCGGGTCGGACGAGGAACGACTCACCCAGTGTGCGCGTGCGAATGGATGGCGCGAGGGCACGGAATTTGCGCGAGGGAGCGGGCGCGTGTGGCTATCCTACGTCGCATGGAAGATGGTCGAAGACACCGTCCGTGCGGTGGAGAAGGAGCAGAAGCGGTCGCAGGACGACGAGGATGAGGGGAGCATGCTCCCTGACGATGGGACGGAGTATACGCACCCTGAGCAAGCTGGACTTGCGGTGCCCGGCACGACGTCTGGATACTTCAATGAGAGCGCAGACAATTTGTTGTTGACGCGGATGGGTCCCGATGGGACGCGGTACCAGGATCCGAATGCGGAGTATGGTGGTGGAGGGCTGAGTACGCCTGGTTATGATGCGCGTGGGTTTGGTGGTCGTGGGCGTGTTGCCGATGGGAGTGGGGAATGGGACGTGGACAGTAAGGGTGTACGACCGTATTCCCCGAATATAAATAAGGCGGAAGGGAGCCTCGTAGTAAAGGATGCGCCGAACACGGTTGAGCAGATCCCGACGAGTAGAGCGCGAAGGTGGTGGTTGGGGCTTGTGTGGTTGTGCACATGGTTGATACCCAGCTTTGCGCTGAAGTATATCGGCCGCATGAAACGCCCGGATATCCAGATCGCATGGAGGGAGAAGGTAGCGATATGCTGGCTCATCCTGCTTCTGAACGGCATGGTCTGCTTCTACATTAT